CCCCAAAACCCCAAAACCCCAAAACCCCAAAACCCCATATGTTTAAAATGAGTTGTGATAGAATTAGTAAATTATTAACATCAAACAAATATTTATATTCAAGTGAGTAGAGAGTTAACATATAATAGACATTCTTTAATATTTCAACTTCATTTAAAGAGGTAAGTCAAAATCTATCTTCAAATAATTTATCTCCTTCCCAGCCCCCTAAAACCCCATTTCTTTCACTTATTCTAATACTTCCTTATTGTATATGATGCTAAACGATCTTTTGAGTAGGAAAAATGCAAAAAAGAGCAAGACAAAATCAAAAGCAACACTCAAGGGATTTAGAAAGTGAGATCCTTAAGAGTGATAAAAGTACTGATCTCGCTAACTTACCACACGAATCCTTCAAACTACCTCCCACGAAGAGACAGAAAACCACAAGTGCCAACTAACAAGCTATTATATCGCAAAAAATGGGGTAAGTCTCAGTTTAAATTTCATTCCTGAGCCTCTGATCTGAGATAATCAGCACTCATATCAGAATCATTTGATTTCCACCTACCAATCTCACCTTTTCAATATATCAATCCCCTTATAACTTCAAGGCATGATTTTCTTAACTTATTCGTAATAGAAAGCAATAGGCTAAGGAGTGCTTGAGAGAAATAGGCAAAAAGAATTCAGCGGATGAATGTCTGAATTTAACTTCTTCCCCATCGATTAGTTGTCATGAATCTCAGAATAATGAGTGTGACACCTTCATTCAAGATTCGGAAAACCTTACAAACAAGACACCTTCCACATCTTTCAGCCAGCCAACGTAAGCAAAGGCCCTGCCCAGTAAAAGCAAGACTTAGATATCCACCTTGAAAAATTCCTAACTCAAATAAATCAACGAGACCAATCATACTAGCAAGGCGGCAACTAATTCTAAAGGTATATAACTCTTCACTAATTTGATTTTAGACAGCATAGTATTGTCTTCAAAAAGCGGCTCAACGATGGCTGAATGCCAGACAATCGATTCCAAAAAGTCGCATCACAGTGAGAACTCCTCAATTTTCAATGAAGATCACATCGTCAATGATTTTAATACTACAGAGACTCTAAACAAGAATTAAGCAAATAAAATTCAATCTAAGAAGCCTGTGATCAAATAAATTCAGAAATAAATCGAAAGAACTAGAAAGCAGAACAACAGCTGCGACTTTTCCTCGGAGGAACGCTTAGTTTTACTCTTCCAGGCCATTGATATAATGAACTATGAGCACTGGAAGAATGACACTCTTAAATCCCAAGGATATATGATACAAGAAGATCATGACTACCCAATGAATGATATTTCAAAGGAAATTAGTCAGTGTAATGATGTATCAGCAAATGCAGACGATAATGGAAATGCTGACATAATACCAAATAACCTAAGTTTCACTCAAAACTTTATTGAGGGCTCTGACATAAACTTCACCAGTCCCATAATGATTAATCCTTAAAACCCAATAAAAGATCCAAGTAATATTATCTCTACTTTAACGAATACTTTAGTAACTAAGAAGAGGATTAGAATGTGTGCTAACAGGTTTTGCTGCTCTCCTAATAAAAATAGCGGTGATTACAAGAACTGGTCAAGGAGAAAGGTTAATAAAAGCAACTAATTCATGTGGCTGTGCGAGTTATGCTCCTTAGCATATAAGAATAACCAATTTTGCACTTATTGTATCCAAATCTACCTTGATTCTGGAGACTATGCTGAAACAGATGGAAAAGAATGGGTCCAATGTGAGAGCTGTTCAAAATGGGAGCATACTGAATGTGAAGTAGCAAGTGGTTTCATAGATCTCCCACAGAAGCTGCAACTAGATCCATCTGAAGGATGGAAGTATTTATGTCCAGGTTGCAGAACCAAGAAGTCAACTAATTCTAGCGCAGAAAAAGATAAACCAAAAACAGCATCTAGTGCTACTAGTGAAGACAATCATAATAGCAATATCAAAAATGATGATTCTTTCTCTCTTCCACAAGCTTAATAGAAGTTTGAGAGTATTGAGAACAAGAAGGTAGACCTGTCACCAGACGATTTTGACTAAATGCTATCAGATCTTACCTCGACTCAGAAGTAAACCAATTATCTCGGGGGAAGCAGGCGCATAAATCGCTAAAAAAGTTTCATTGAGGAAACAAAACAAAAAAATCAATTAATTGATCAATTATCTGGAGACAAAGGTTAAAATGTAGCAGCAACAACGAGGAACTCCCTGAAAATGAGGAGGAAAGCCACGAAAGATGACAAATTACTTTCATGCAAGTAAGATTTAGGGAAGATGACTCCTACACCTTAGTCCGATAGCTTTTAGTAATTTTTGAACCGCTCGCAAATAACTACTCGACACGGAAAATCAACTGCAACAGGTGTAAAAAAGCTATGACTAAGTCCTAGGTAAAAATTAGCTAGATATTTCATTCAAATTATAATTTATGAGATTAGTTTGAAAAATAAGAATTCATAACATCACTTAAAATTTTCAAAAACACACATACGGGGTTTTGGGGTTTTGGGGTTTTGGGGTTTTGGGG